AACAAACTTCCTGTCAAAATTTTTTAAAGGTGATAATTAAAACTTTACAATACCTCCTCGTATTTCTGTATATGTTATTTTAAAATTGTGCTTGTGACTACTCTTAGGATTTTTTGAAAAACAAAGACAACTGTGCTGGTATTTGTTGTTGTGTGCCTTCAAGCTGTCTCTGACTTATGGCAACCCAAAGATGACACAGTGGCTCAGCAGTTAAGACACTGACTCTGACAATTGGCAGGTTGGCAATTCAAGGTCCAAGAGCCATGGGACAGAGTGAGCTCCCATCATTAGTCTCAGCTTCTGCCAAACTAGCAGTTGGAAAGCATGTAAAAGTACAAGTAGATAAATAGGCTCCACTTTGGTAGGAAGGTAACAACGTTCTGTGCAGTCATGGTGACCACATGATCACAATGCTGGACAACGCTGGCTCTTCCGCTTAGTAATGGCGATGAGCACCACCTCCTGCAGTCGGTTACAACTAAGCAATCTTGTCAAGACAAAACCTTTACTTTTACCTTTACCTTTAAGATGAATCTACCACAGGGTTTTCTTGCCAAAATTTGTTCAGGCTGCATCTGCACTGCAGAAACATCACTTTAACTGCCATGGTTCAGTGCGGTGGAATTCTGGGGACTGTAGTTTTATGAGACATTTAGCCTTCTCTGCAGAGTGCTCTGGTGCCACAACAAACTACACTATCCCGAATTCCATGCCACTAAGCCATGGCAGTAAAAGTTGTTGAACCGGATTACTTCTGCAGTGCAGATGCAGCCACAGAGATTGGGTTGCCTTTGCCTTTGTCTGGAAGAATGTGACTTGCCCAAGATCACCCAATAGGTTTTCATGGCTGAGCAGGGATTTAAACCCTGTTCTCCAGAGCCGTAGTCTAATGGTCAAACCACTGCACCACACTGGCAGCTGTGGTAATATTTTTATAAAACCCAATCAAAATGCCAGAAAATAGACAAACATTTGATTCTCCAGAACTCTTTATCAGGGACACTGAGTGAGCTAGACAGTCATCCACAGCTCCCTGATAACCTCCTCAATAATTGCTCCTTTCCAGACAAATATGTCAAGAGGGGAAAATATGAGGGAGGGCTATGAGGTGTTTAATCTTTTAAATTCTCAAACATGTAGATTGTTAGTTGCTAGGAGAGGTTAATTGGAAATATAATTAGAAGTCTGTGTATAGTCAGTGTGATACAATTTTGTTAAATCTGACATTCTCACAAGGAATTTAAAAACACAACAGATTTTTAGGCAGACAAATGTTCATCTGCACTGCATAAATAACCCAGTTTGACACAGCTTTAACTGCCATGGCTCAAGGCTATGGAATTCTGGGAACTGTAGTGTGTTACGACAATGTACAGGGGTATCGTAAAGTAATAATTATCACTCAGAAGTTATTATGGTATATTGATGAAATTCTGTCAGTGTCATCATTGATCCCTAAGTACATGATGTTGAGAAAATAAGCTCATTGTGTCCTTTATTTTTGTTACAGGTTGTGCCAGAAGTGACTAAAGTGTAAGATGGAGAAGACTGAGGCTCACAGCGTGAAAAAAATTCCTGCATTTGAAGGGTAATAGTGCCCGGCAAATTCATGATGAGATGATGGTAGTTTATGGAAATGATTGCCCATCTTATGACACTACTGTGAGGTGGAAAAAGAATTTTCAAACATGTCCCTCACAGATGAGCCAAGACCTGGAAGACCATCATTGATGGATGATGCAGCCACAGTGAAGAAAGAGGAGTGTTTAATCCTAGAAGACCGACAAGCAACCATCCAAATGATCATGAATGAAACTGGTCTCAGTTATAGTGATGTGCCAAAAATTATTCATGACAAACTGCACATGTCTAAGGTTTCTCCACACTGGGTTCCACATTTGTTAACCCCTTTTCAAAAACAAACACAGTGTGACCTTTCAAACAGATATTTACACTGTTGGAACAGGATGAAGAGGATTTTTTTGGTCGTCTGGCAACCATGGATGAATCTTGGATCTACCAGTATGATCCAGAGACCAAAACCATGAGCATGGAGAGGAAACATGCCAATTCCCCTCCTCCAAAAAAGACAAAGGTGCAAAAGTCAGCAGGGAAAGTCATGCTCTCAGTTTTTTGGGACTGTCGTGGAGTCATTCTCACAGATTACTTTGCAAAGGGACAAACCATCACTGGCACAAACTACAGCAATCTTCTGCACAAGTTGAGAGATGCTCTGAAAAAGAAACGCTGTGATATGCTCTCCAGAGGCATTCATCTCTTAGCTGACAATGCACCAGCTCACTCATCTTGGGGCTTTGTTGAGTGGCATTTGCAAGTCAATAGGGGGTGGGGCA